CCTGAGTTTCCGGTTCAAGCTCTTCAAACAGAGCTTGTCCATATGGAATAAGCTCGTTTCCAAATATATGATTTTGTAGCTATTCTGGTTTTCTTTCCATGTTACCAATAATATCTTTTGTGAATGGGAAAGCTTTTACCAAACGTTTCAGTCTTGCGTCATTTATTTCTGTAGTTGGTTTTATTTTGTCATGGAACATGTTTTTCAATACTAACATTTCATTTGGTACTGTCCATTTGAGTTTTCTTAAATATTCATCCCTTCTCGGTTCATTGTCTGCAAAGTAAGTTTTTATGACATTTTGCAAACTTTCGTTTGCAAGGTCATGTACAATAGGTTCTCTTCCTTCTCTCTCCCTAACTCTCTTTCTAAACTCTTCACCAAATATACCATCTCTATGGTTCTGTGTAGTTCTTTGAGATAAATGTTCTAGAACGTCAGGTGTTATATTTCCCTCAGCCATGTTCATTTCATACTGGTCCAAAATATCTGCATCTTTCATATCTTTCAATGGCATTAAAGCCGCGCTGAAAATACCAGCTATATCTGGTTCACCATTCACTTCCATTGCGTCTACAACTTCTTGGAATTGAGGTTGTAAGTTTATGAACCACCTATCCGGATTAGCTTTATGACCCCATCTCATTGTAGTTCCATAGTCTGCAGAAACAAAAGTAGGTTTGTTTCCATATTGGTTAGATTCTGAATGAACTTTAAACAATGTTTCATTTCTATATGTTTTGTTGAAATTAAACCTTTTATTTTCACCGAGTTCAGCCAAAGATTGAACGTTATATGGTCGTAAGTAAAAAGGATTATTGTATTTGCGTACATTTTCTTTCAGTACTTCCATTCTATGCTGAATATTTTCATCTGATGTTGGAGTCTTTTGTATGTCGGTGAACATTTTTCGATATTCTTCTACTATGTCAGCCGAATTTTTCTTAGACTCTTGGAAAGATTCCATATTCACCTCATACTCTTGTTGAGGGTCAAGATTTTTCGGCTGTTCCAAATCTTCATCTAGTTCTGTGAAGTTAGTTTCCAAAGGAGGGACTTGTTCGTTTCCTTCAGGCTCTTCTAGCTGTTGTTGCTGAACTATTTCTTCCATGTCTGGTTGTATCTGAACTTCTTCCTGTGGAGTTTCTTGTACCTCATCTGCTGGCATTTCATATATTCCGAGACCGTTTTTAACAAGTTCCCTATCTAAGTCATCCGGACTCATAAACCTTTCTTCTTTCGTTCCGTCTCTATTTTTTACGCGTTTCATGAAGAGAGTTGAATTATCATTTAGCTCTGACATCAAATATCTCGGAGTAAATTCATCCATGTCATTTGGATGATATGCTATTAAATCATATCCCTTAGCGAGCTTGTATTTTCCAGGTTTGAGATTATATCCGATTTGATGCTGAGCCATAAAGCTAAATAGGTTCGGGTCAGTATTTCCTTCCTTGAACTTTCTAATAGCTTCTTTATATCTGTCACTAAAGTCAAGAGTATCTGGGTAACCATAATCTTCCTTAAGCATTTTTAAGAATTCTTGGTTTCCTTTTTCTCTACTTCTTTTATGTCCTTGCTCTGTTTGTGGTTGTTGTTGTGCAGGGTTTTGAACTGTTGGTTGCTGTGCTGGTTGTGGAGGTGGTTGCTGTGCTGGTTTTGGTTGTGGTGCTGGATTTTGAACTGTTGGTTGCTGTGCAGGGTTTTGAACTGTTGGTTTTGGTTGTTGTTGTGGTGCTGGATTTTGAACTGTTGGTTGTTGTTGTGGTGCATGCCTGTGTCTGTGTCCATGTGACGATGTAAATGTTTTAGGTAGTCCTGGTGCAGGTGCTTCTCTTGGAGGGTTTGGTGGTATATAAGTTCCACCAGCTGGCACATATGTTCCATCTGCAGCATAATGTCCTACCTGACTTTTCGTTTTTAAGAAAGCATTTACTAGGTCTGTTTTGGTCTGTTGTAACTCTTTTTCTTGACTTTCCACAACAGTTGCTCTAACGGCGTCATAGGCACTTTGAACTGCCTGTCTCGTTGCTGCATCTGTTATTTTCGTCATATTTTGTGCTACTTCTCTACTAACTTTTGTCGAAACCTTCAGACTTCAGTTTCTTTCCAGATGAGAAGTCATTCACTAGTTTCACCTTACTATGAAGAGCTTCGAAGGCATTCTTAAAGTCAGCATTCATTAAAGCTTCATTTGAAACTGTCTTCATCCGCTTGTATTTTTGTCCTTATTGACCCTATAAGTTTGGGCTGCTTTAGCGTTGGCTGGGCATCTAACCAGTCATTATTAGCTTTTCTAATATCTGCGCTTTTCATTGCCTTTTGCATGGCTGCGTCGTTATTTTTACTTTCTTGTGCTAAGTTTTCATACTGTACGGTTTGGTTTTGCAACTGTAAAAGTTTTTTCTGCCTTTACATTTGCTTCAACTTCTTTTTTTATACTCATCGCTATCCATATATGTCTTCAGGGCTTTTTGTTTTATTTCTTCATCTTTCAGTACTTTATATTGAGTAGTATGGTTTTTCAAATTTATAACATCTTGTTCCATTTTTGCTACTTCTGCTGCTTTTTCTGACACTTTTTTTCGCATATTCCTCTGTACTTAGTTCTTTCAGTTGTTCTTTCTTTCTTCTTTTTTCTCTACGTTTAACTCATTGAGTTTCTTTGTGTGTCTGTCATATTCTAGTTTCTTTTCGTTTTCACTTATTTGTTTCTGTATGTCTATGTTTGACTTTTTGACATCTGTTATTTGATTTTTGAGTGAACTCAAATTCATTTGACTTTGAGGGTTATAAGCTGTTCCGTCTGCAGCTCCACCATAGCCTGCCATTTTTCGCTAAAAGTGCCGCTCTTAAACCTCCACTCTGTGCACCAATAACTCGGTTTAAAAGCATAGGGTTGCTTGACATTTGTTGCAACATAGTGAGGTCATTCATCATTTGTTGTTGCAACTGTTGTTGTGGTGTTAGTTTTACTATTGGATGTTTCAATGCTCCCTTCCTCTTACGTATATTCTTATGTAGCTTACGTGGCATTTTAAGTGAAGTTAAAAAGCGGTTTTTTGACAGATGTTTATATGACACTTTTTGTTCAGCACAAAAAACTACTCGTCAAAGTGTTGTCAGTTTTGTAAAATAACCGTCTTATCTCATTCTATAAGGGGGAAAAGGCTTCTCAAAGTATACTTCCTTGGAACGCCTGTAACTTTTCCTGTAGCGACGATAGACCATTACTTGTCCGGACAAAGTTATACTATTTTGAGTGCTCTACAAAAAAGTCAACGGTGACGACTCTCAAAAACCGTTGTGTAAAAAGTTTTACCGTTGGACAAAGAAGTATATATAGAAAACAAAAAACGTTTATAGTTCATTCAATATTTGAGATAAACCGTTTTTCCAACGGTAACTATTAAATAAAATAAAAAAATAGAGGGTCTCCGTTGACGAAAACGGTTTATCTCAAACTTTTCTATGAGTGGTCCGAAAAAAAAAGTTCATTTTTATCTAATGGAAGCCCAACGCTGTTAACCACAATTCAAACATTAACAATTCTCAACCGCTAACCAAAGCCAAAGCCCCACAACCTCCAAGAACCGGCACAGCGTTAGAATAACACACCAAAAAGTCTAACAGCGAATTAAGAGAAATTCTTCAACAAATTTGCTCTAAATATCTCAAAGACGCCGAAGAAAACACACAACCAGACGCTACATACAATACTCAGTTCTGTGAAGTTCTGAACAAAGCAATTACTAGTTCAATTGAACTTACTAAGACAATTCCAAGTCAATTGAGCTTAGCGATGTCTTAGTTCAGTATTTTCCAACATTTACTAAGCTTATAATGTTGAGAACTTTATACCAAGTTCGTCAAAATCTTCCTCGTTACATCCAACGGTCATTCGACACGAGAATTGCCGAATTCCAAGTCTTTAGTTACGGATATGACGAAGATGAATACGTTGACGAGTTTCGGAGACAACTGTACAAAATGGTTTGAATGTTATACGACAACACAATTTGAATTCGACTTTCTCGAATTCAACGCAGCCACCATTCATATCATTGCTCTTTACCTTTCCGAACAACAACAAGACCTCGCAGATGGAGATGTTGTTACTGTCGTCATGAAAACTCCTGAACAATTCGGAAAAAAGAAGTCTCTAATTGCCAAATTTGTTCCAGGACATCAGCTTTTCCAACGCACAGAAGTCTTCTGTATTCCTGGAACTAAGTTCTTTGTCAGGAGCGAACTCAAAGAAAGATATAATGTGTCATTCAATTACACATTATATAATGTTTTCGACCCGGAAGAAGGCTTCTTCCCAAAAGCAATGGAGGAGGAAGAAGAGGAGGAGGAAATACAAGACTCTATCCAAGAAGAGTCCTCCGAATTCACACCAGAAGACTAACAATTTTCCGAATAAAAACTTCATTTATACTAAACATCTTCGGGGCTAGAGGGCGCAACGCGCCTGGAAGCCCCACTCACCTGACCTCTATTTGGAAACAAAATAAAAGAACTGAAAAAAAATAGCAAGAAATTGCAGATTTTAAGATAGAAGTTGATCTGCTCTGATTAATATCAATAGATAACATATGATTTGTTTCATGGTTTATGCTCATTTCAAACAAATTTTAAAAATTTTATAATAATACTATTCTAAATATATATCTAATAGTGTCATATATATTATACATGAATGATGAAGAAGAAAAGTTTTGTTATTATAATTTATGAATTTGAATAAATTAGAAATTTGAAATTTTGCCCAAAAAAGTTAAATTCTATACCTGCAGTATGACTGTGTTGTAATGGTAGTAAGAATGGGCTAGCTCAAAGCAACTGCTCAAAACTTTCCCGCCAAAAACGCAAAAGTGTCATTTCTGCATGGAAGACCATAGCTGGAGTCACGCTCAACCATCCCCTTGCTGGTATGATGTGCAGCCTTTGTTCTGACCAATCATAGTGCTGAAAACGAAAAGTGACAAAATTTATAAATGAGTGAAACTTTGAAGACTAAAATAGTTCTTATTGGAAATTCTGGTGTTGGTAAAACATCAATTGTCCAAAGTTACAAAAATGGATCTATTCCTCAAAATCATCTGCCAACAATCGGTGCTGATCAAATGCAAATCCAAATGGAGATCCTCAACCGTACTGTCCATGTCCATGTTTGGGATACCGCTGGCCATGAAAAGTACAGAACCATTGGAAGTTTATACTATCGTGATGCCGAAGGCTGCTTTTGCGTTTTTGATTATTCTGATGAAGAATCATTCAAGGAATTACCTAAATGGATCGAAGATTTTGAAAATGTTGTTGGGCAAAATAAAGTCATTGCAATTGTAGGAAATAAAAGCGATTTACCCAAAAAAGTCAATGATAATGAAGCCTTAGCTTTTGCCGACTCACGCGGATTTAAATTCTACCAAACATCTGCAATTACTAATTTTGGAATTGCTGATTTATTTGAAGGAGTAGTTTACGAAATTATGTCACATAAAATTTCTCAAAATACAGCAAAAGATGAAGTCGTCCAAGTTAAAGAACCAGAAGTTAAACCAGACGAACCAGAAAATGAAAAACCTCAATCTTGCTGTTAATTTTTGCGATTTTAATTTATTTAATTAATCGATTTCATACTGTTTATTAAATAATTTGCTTTTAGTACTTTGAAATTTCATAATATAATAAATAACATAAAATATTTTTATAAATATTACAAAAAATAATAAAAACATATATAATTTATAAGTTAAGGTCTATTGGAGAATCTACTTGATTCAAATTGAAATGTAGATCATCGGAAAAATCAATTTCGATATTTGGTTCTAACGTATTGGAATAGTCAATTGGTTCAAACGGAGCTATACAATCGTATTCTTCGGTAATGATTTGATTTTGATTAATTTCTTGTTCTTGAATTCTTTTAGGAGCTATTTTTGGTTTAAGCAGGACAAATTTTGGAGGCTTACCGAGATCAGAGCATAATGACGATGGATTTTTTCGAATTTTTCTTCTAATGCTTTCAATTTCTGCTTCAGATGAAAAGACTCCTTCTTTAACAAGAGTTCCGTTTTTTCCAACACGGTACACTATTCCTTGATCAGAAGAATACCTTTTATATATCAATCTGGGATTGAGAGTTCCAGACTTTCCCATGCTGAATATAAAAATGAATTATTGAATATTTTGACTAGTATTCATATCAAAAAAATGAAATGAAGTAAACTAGTCAAATGAGAAATTTGAGTAATGGCAGACAACTGGCGTGTAGCATCAATGAAAATTAACCTTATACATATGAATTGAAATAAAGTTTTAAAATCAATTAAAGAAATATACAAGATTTTTTTGCCAATCACTCCAAATCACTTGATTTTATGAATATATGTCAAGTATCACGCATAATTAATAATAATATTTTTTATTTTCAAAAAGGTACTTTTAATGGGTATATTAATATCTCTAGTTTCTAGCCTGAATCAATATAGAGTTCATATGCAAAAAGTGAAACTACTATGGTGTGGAAAAAATATCAAAGTTCCCCACTTATATATAACAAACAATTTATGAGAATTAAATGGAAAAATAAAATACAAAGACATATATAAAGGATAACTAATCCTTTTTGCATCTAATCGTTTTTGCAAGACGACGTGTAAGAGGTACACGTGATATTCTGGATTTACTAATTTCAGATAATTTTTGAAGCATTTTATTTTGAACAATAGCACTGTGACTACGTGCTGCAACTTGCCTTTCTCTTATTGGTTTCTTTGTTATTGCAAAGCTTGCAAAGTAAGGCATATTTAATAATTCATCAACTGATGCTCGTGTTTCTTCACAATAATCTAGGCAACGATTAATAACATCTCTAAACTGAGGATCTTTGATGGCAAAAATAGGAAATATACCGTCATTAACTAATTTAATTAATGTTTTGAAATTATCTGCAAAAAATGGATGTATATGTAGGAAAATGTAATAGAAAGTTATTCCGACTGCCCAAATATCAGCTTTCATTGGGTCATACGCCTTTCGTTTTAAAACCTCAGGCGACATGAATAGCATAAAATCTCTGTAATCAATTTGCTGGATATCACGTTCGTATAATGAAGCAATGCTAGCTTGGCACAGCTTGACTTTCCCATTTTGGTCAATCATGAAATTTGAGGGTTTCAAATCAGTGTGAGAAATACCTCTATCATGAAACATCTTGATGGCACATAAAATTTCATAGCAATATTTCTTCAATTGGTCTGAATTTAATGAAATTTTTTTGGTATTGTGAGAATAAAATTCTGAAGGGCAGCATTCCATGAGAATATAGACAAAATTTTTGTATCTATAGTACTTGTATACTTGCATGGATGAATTGGGGAAAAAATAATCGATTTTCTTTAGATCGGAGTCTCTGAAACATTCTTCATGTATCTTTTCCAGGGCAAAATTCTTTTGTTGTTTTGTGCTATATACAAGATAAATATATCCATAATCTCCTTCATCTATAATTCTATCCAGTTTGATTCCTTGACTTTCAAGAAATGCAGAATCACTGGTATCAATCATAAATGTAATTTCGTAAACTTATTAAAAGTTGATTGAACACATTTATTATCCTTTTCAATTTATTGAAATCAATTTATTATTAATTATTTAAAATATAAATTTACACCAAAATATATTTGATATGTTCAGTGCTTTCAAATAAAATTTTTATAAATTAATTTCATAAACATGATGCACACTATAAATTGTGATATATTTATTCACCTTAATTCTATATATACAAAATTTTGAATATACTTTACATCACATTCAAAATTTAATTTTATTTTAAATTTTTGAATCATCGTGCAATAAAATTTTACAATTTATGCATCCACATCTAGTAATTATGAATTTAAAAATTTATTAGCATTGACCAATTTACAGATTATCGTCTCAGATTTTTCATTCTGCATAGCTAACATAATGATCATACGAAAAACTATCTAAGTCATTAATAAAACAAACAAAAAACATACAATTTATTATGATATTAATCTTTTCTAACTATCACATTCTTCAACTTTTGCAGTTTAACAGCACATGATATCTTTTTAAATTCAGAGTGAGATTTTGATGATTTGAGAACAATTTTCCTCTTAATCACATCACCGTTGCTGTTAATATCAAATGGAACGCATGTTACATCTTGTTTCTTAATGGAAAGCTTAGGTTCTAATAGATGCGTCACGTAGTTACAAGGTGAAGTGATCTCCACAATCCCACATGAATTAATTGGATTTACTATATAATAGCTTGTTGAAAATACTGTAACAACATTAGATCCGAGTTGTAATTTAGATCCGTTAGCGCACTCATGAGATCTGATAATTTCTAAGAATTGACGGACAGCATCGATTCCAAAGAAATATCCTTTACCACGAGAATTATCACCAAACCAATTAATATTTTCACATGGATCGCTCCATACTAATGCAGTGATAATTGGATTGCTTTGGAAGGATATTATTGGCTTTGGAATGCTTTGAATTTGACTGAGGTTCTCTACGTTTGGTCCTATTCCTCCATGAACAAGGAAATATGAATTATTGACAACAGCAGCTAATGGAAAGTATGAAAAGATATCGTTAAACAGTTGGAAAATATATTCATTGTATTGGGATAGCACTTGACTCCTAAAACCATATTCTGCATTGACCTGAATAAATTCATGATTTCCTCTAAGGAGGTAAATTTGAGTTGGGTATGCAAGCTTGAGGCTAAATAGAAGTATAAGTATTTCTACAGAAAAATCACCTCTGTCGACTAAGTCTCCGAGAAAAATAAACCGAGAATTGTTGAGATTGCTTTGAGAGAACTTAAGAATTCTAAGTAAATCACGGAGGTTACCATGAAGATCACCAATTACATTGAAGTTTCCCTCTAAATTAAGGAGCGTAGGTTCACTTTGGAAAACATTTTTGACCATTTTGAGCAATTGGAGCAAATCATAAGTCTTGAGCTGTGGTACTTGAATGTCCTTAAGGCAAGATTCTATATTAATATTTTTAAAAGCTTCAATAATGCATTGGGATAGCATGAGTGATAAAGTTTGAATATTTCTAATCATTTGAGGGAACTAATTTAATTATTTGTGATCTAATTTAAATTGTATTGAATTAATACCGTGCTTAGCAATTTAATCATATACCAAATACAACCAATAAGCTTATTCGATTAAATTTAATACGGACAAACATTTATGTCAAATTTTGATTTTTATTTAAATAACATTAAACATTATAAAAATGATTATTTTTAAATTGTGAAGTTTCTCAAAAGTGTCCCAAATAACTAATTCAATTTTATGTTTTCCAATTCGAGTATATTTATGTTCTAAATACTGACTGGCATTAATCCATTCGTTAAATGTTTCATTTCAATGAGTTATATTTAGTTGAATGTTTAAAATATTAACTATCTTTTATCTATTATATTCTTTCGGCCAGGCAATTTAACGTCGAAAAAATAACCCAAAAGTGGGAATTTTAACTTGTAGCAGAGGAATTTTTGAATACAAATGAGCAAACTTTTGAAATAGAATTTGCTCTATATCAGATGAGCTCCACACTGGTGAAATTTGGGGTGATTTTACCAACGATATCTCAAAAATTAGATTCTTATTAACTTCAATTTGCCGAGTTAACCAAAATGTTTTATGTGTATTAAGAGGATATTGGATAAGCATGCAATATCTACGCTTATTATACAAACTTGAGTTTTGATGATTATCTTGAAATTAAGAATTTAGGTTTGGAATTTTCATGTATCATCACGGCTGTATGCATATAAACAGATGTAGAGTAGTATGGCTATCAAAAATAACCCAGTTTTATTGAAAAATACAGGTGCTACAAGTTAAATTTATGTTACGGAGTTATTTTTCAGACGTTATAAATTTGAATGACTCTCATTTTGAATGCAAATTTGCTTATCTGAATAACATGAATATTTTATTTATAAATCTTACAAAAATAATTAATCTGACAGTAATGCTTTTCAAAAATGAATTTTAAGTTTTGATTCTATAATGTTCAATATTTATATTTTAAGCGATTTTGATTTTCTTTTTAATGTTTCAATTCATTTCAATATTGTAATCACTGACCAAGTTTACGATCGAAATTTAAATTTATTCAAATCTATTTTTATTCTTCCTGTTACAGTTAAATATCGCATAAAATGTTAATTTTAACTGATTAATTTATTCATTAATTTTTAAAACCTTGTAAGAATCGATTAAATATGTACATATCTTATAAAATGATTGTTCACACCCATAAACATGATTTTTATTGCAGTTTCTACATAAAATAAATTTTAGTTCAATAATTCAGACTCCAAATACATAAATATAGTGGTAATAATAATAATAAAATCATAGCAACCAAATTCTTAAACCGGTCTAATTCCATTCAACTCAGCCCACTCCACGAGTTGTCTTGGTACTTCATCCAAAACGGCAGCAGCCAGTGCTGTGTAGTGCTTTTTTGCGAATTCGTTGAAAGGCACGAACTGGACGAGATCTCTAACCATCTTGTAACCTGCACGGGACACGAGTGGTTCATCATCAGCGTCGAGTACATCCATTGCATCGAAGTTTGCGTTTCCAACACCTACTATGATGATTGAGAGCGGCTTGTTTCCTGCGTCAACAATTGCGTCAATTGTATCCATCATATCGTTGATGATGCCATCTGTGACAATTAAGAGGATTGTGTATGTCCTGGACTCCTGCCAGGCCTGGATTGCCATGCTTGTTGCACGCCTGATGATGTGAGCGAACAGCGTTGGTCCTGAGAGGGCAACCTGGGACAAAGCGTACTTGTAGCAGCCGACAATACCCTCGAGGCCGTGGACGCATGGATTGGCCTCGTTGAAGTTGAGGGCAAAGCAGTGGTTTGCTTGGAAACCAACTTTGGCACCGAAACCAAAAACAGGGAACTCTTGGTCGGAGTCGTACGGGCAGAGGATTTCTCCGACAGCGCGAATGCACTTTTCGTACTGGTTTAGATAGTCAGCGCCCATGTAGTGAAGGGAATTCATGTTGCGTGGGTCGCCGTTGGAGGAGGTAAAGTCGATAGCTGTAATGAGATTAAGTTGAACGCCGTTGCGGAGGTAGTCAACAAAGGTGTATTTTTGGTTGATGACAACTAAAGTGCATGTTAGCTCACCAACTTTGTTGCGATGCTCGTCCATGATGTCTTGGGTTTGCATGAGGCTTTCACTGATCCTTTCATATGTTGTTTCGATGAATCCAATCTGCTCGGCGTGAGTTGTTGATCTGTAATGCATCACTGAGATCTTAAGCGGACGTGCTGGGTCACAGTTGCAAAGAGTTTGATATGGAATGGAGAATTTCTTCCACTGGCACTTTTTACTAACTTCTGATTGGAATACAGGCAAGAATGACCCACTTTCGGATCCTTTTGAAATAACAAAATACGGAGAGTTGCTGGTGAGAAAATGCATCTTCTTCAGGTTCTTTGCTTTGAATTGCATTTCGATAACGGCGCCAGAGTTCTCAACTTGCTCTGGGGTAATATGAATTATGCCTCTCTTCTTATCATTATGAGGGATTTTGAGCTCGAGCGTTGTAGTACCTCTATTAGCAATGATTTGGGAAAGGTCGATTTGGGCTTCGCCGATGAAATCTTGGGATGAAAGTGTCGAGGTATCTGAGTCAACGTCATATACACGAAACATGAGTGGCTGCTTAATTTCGAAGATGTATTGAATGGTGAAAAACTTAACCCATTCTGGATTTAAGTTGTTCCAAACAACTTCGGTTCTTGCATATTCACTCCATTTACCATTATTCCAGACAAATAAAACGCAGATCGGATCAGAAACTGTTATGATGTCCATGTCAACTAGTTCATTTGCTTTGACGTGTAGTTCAACTGTTGGAAAATTACTGTTTGGGTTTAGGGCAGATTTTGCACCTCCAACTGCTGAGGTGCCTGAGTAGTTATCAGCAACGTGTGACATTTATCAAAATTATGAAAAAATTTTTAATCAAAAACTTGATTTTATGATTTAATTTTTTAAAAATGGAAATAAAATGGTAAAATAAAATGATGTTATGCTCAAGAAATATTGTAAAAAATTTTATCGGATCTCAAAATTTGACAAGATCCGATGTTTGAATAAAAGTGCCAAAAATTCAGAGGTGTAATTTTTTTCGTTTTACGAAATTTTTTGCAAAGTATTTGATTGTAATTTTTCTGGAAATCAATCATTGAAACTCATTTTTATACTTTTTCCGTTACTAGAAAATGACCTTTGTTGTCAATTCATGCAATGTTAAGCACTTCATAGAGAAAAAAAAAATATAATGTTTTTTTTTTCTATTCTCCTTGTTACTTGAGGATACCACTTGCATTGATACAGGTGTAAAAATGATTTCATGGGTAATAACTAAGGTTTAGCACTAAATACCTTATAAGGGTAAATTATAATTATAAGTATTGTGGAATTTTAAATGCATAAAATTTCTTTCATGGGCTTAAACTGCATTATCAGTTGACATCAACAATAATTATTTTTTTTTGGTGAATCAAAAGATAACAATGCTAATAGTTCAGTATTCATTAATTTGATATACAATTTATATTGCATCTTTTGTTTATGTCTATCTTAAACCGGATGGAATTCATTTTCTAATTTTTTTTCCTTAGTTAGTCAACAATAAAGTATAAACTAATTTGTATCATTGATCATTGTTGGTGATTCATTTAAAAGAATTCTTGTAACAGATATTATGAATGAAAGTTGAAATGTGCTGATCAAACATAATTCTTAAGTTTTCAACCTATACTTGATAAGACAAGCATTATTTATATATAAATATCTTTAGCAATTCCTTAATAAATTCAGATATTTCATATTGAAAATAAAAAATTATCCGAAAATCAATAACTATAAAAATATGAATATATACATACATTATGGTACTATCAAAAAAAAAAAAAAAAAAAAAAAAAAAAGGCAGTGGGGCTTCCAGGGCTGCGCCCCTCTAGCCCCTGAAGATGTTTAGTATAAATGAAGTTCTTATATACGGGTCTTCCAGGAGCTTTTCACAAAATATATATGTTTTCATGTTTTGTCACTTTTCTGTCACTTTTCAGGTAAAAACATTTTTATTATATATATATAAAATGAATTTTACAAAACCACCGTTACCCTTCTTTGGAAATAAGAGTAGATGTAAAGATATTCTATTGAGAGAACTTAAGAAACTACCGAATGGTCTAACATTTGTAGATTTGTTCGGTGGAAGTTTCTATATATCTCATTTGTGCCATACTGTATTTCCTGACTCAAAGATTATATGCAATGACTTCGACAACTATATGAACCGTCTCAAACATATACCAGACACAAACAAAATATTGAAAGAGTTAAAAGAAAAGATACCTATAGGTAAGATGGAACGTATACCATTAGATAAGAAAAATACTGTCAGAGAGGTTTTGAAAAAAGCAGAGTATATTGACTGGGATAGTATATCTTCTAGACTATTGTATAGTGGTTCTATAAGAGTTCATGACATTGAAACACTTATGTCAAAAGTTTTATATCTTAACTATACAAAGGTTTTCAAAGAGAACATAGAAAAATATACTGAGGGTATAGAGTTTGTGAGATGTCGTTGGACAGAGTTGTATGAAAAATATAAAGACAAGGAAAATGTTTTCTTTATAGTAGACCCGCCGTTCTATAACACATATGATTTTCAATACCAAGTAGACTGGACTTTGAGAGACTCTTTAGAAACTTTAGACGTTGTACATAACCATCCATGCTTTTACTTTACATCCGATAAAAGTGGTTTGGAAAGTGTCATGAGATGGTTAGAGGACATACATGACTATGAGTTTAGATACGACAAGATAGAATATGAGAGAGGTCCTATAAACCGGAAAAAGTGTCATAATAAAGAAATTTTATTGGTAAGTAAATGTGGTTTGAAATAGGACTACTTGTTTTAGGTTTTTTCCATTGTGTCATTTACTTATTTGACGTGGCAGAAAGATATAGAGAATATGAAGATGAACCAATGCCTGCAAATGTTCAGCATATGTACTCGTAAGAGATATTTTTATCTAATATTAAATGGACGCACAGAACTTAGCGAATGCACAGCAACCTGGACAACCAAACCCAGAGAATATTCCAAATGAAGTTAGAATACAAACTGCAATGGCAAACTATGGTCAAGTGCCAACAGATGTACAAATGCAAACTGCCATGTCAAATGACGCTGCGTTAGGTTTGCCACCATGGTATGCAAATATGAGATGGAAAGAGTTTTATACAAACCCTGAAGTGGGATATAAACAACTCTATGCAGATGACGCGAACACAGGAGTTGACCCAGAGTATGTTTTCTACCAGAGGAGAAACAGAATGTATGAGCTCCAGTTAAAGAATGCTATGGAACTCAACAGGAAACGTAAGAGACTAGGTGGACATTAGATTTTTACATATAGTAAATGGGTTTCTTCAGTAGTATTGGAAACTTCTTCAGAAGAGTTGGAAGAGGTATATGGAATGGAATAAAATCTGTCGGAAGAGGAATTTGGAACGGAGTCAAAAATATTGGTAAAAGAGTAGGTCAGTTCGTTGGTATTATACCTAAAGACCCTGAACCAGAAGAACAAGCTCCTGTTATACAACAGCCTGAACCTGCACCACAGTCTAGTTGGCAACCAAATCCAACACCTCAACCGTATTAAAAAATTATATTTTTACCGTTCGATAGTAGTTGTATATGAAACTAAGTTCTAAGTAAAACACATGGTATAATGGAATTATTCTCTTTCTTCCATCTGTTGTAAACCATACTTGAAAGTCTGAAATACTTCCACTCGGTGGTTCATATAGCTTTGTAGGTTTTTCGTAAAAGTCATTTGCCAAGCATAAAAAAGAGTTTTGGGCGCCAGAAAATGAAGCATGAACTATAATAGCATCTGAGTCGAAAACATTTTCATATGTTCCATTAGGGTTTTCGACTTCATAAAAGTCCGGGTGTACTGGATATTCTGCAGGCTGATTTAACATCCTCAGAAACCTATACCATGCCAAGTTGTTATATTTTGTAGAAATATAAACGTCTTCTCCAAGGTCTTCTATTCTATTGATTTTAACAGTTGCATTTTTCCTGTCATATATAATATCGAGATGGTACTCTCCTTCGTCAATGTTGTACTGTTTTGCATATTCGAGATAGATATCGTTTATTTTTTCTTGAAAAGCTTGAAGAGTTGTTTCTAAGTTTACAAGCAAATTCACTTGTAAAAGTTTTCCCTGTTCAAATTTCTCATACGTACGTTTCTCTTTGTTATAGTATCGAATTTCAAAAGCGACCGTAAATGGGAAACCATGTATGGCTTCTGAAATGAACTTCATTCTACGAAAGCCAATAGCTTTTGTGACGGATGGGTCTCTTAGCCATCTTAACGGGTAGTCAAAACGATAGCCTTCATGCTTTACGGTCTCTGTCTCAAACTTTTGACCGACATTGGTAAAAAGTTCATCTAATGGTTTAGTTGTAGCAACTCTAGAATTTTCTTTTTCTATTGAAAGCATATTTTATCTAGAATAAAAATGTCGAAAGAAACAGCGTCTATGAGAGAAATACAACACAACCGACAACTCATTTTGCAAGCTCTAAATAAGAACACAACAAACTTTTCAAACTATTCTAAGATATCTGAGTCATTGAAAGAAGGAAACTTAAAACTGACGATAAACCCATTGACAGACGAGTTTCTGTTTCAAGACAGTAAGAACCATACTGTTTGTATAAATCCAACAAAAAGAACTTTAAACGAGAAACCTATAGATGAACTTCTTTTGAAAGCAGATGTTGACAACAAAGCTGACAAAGAGTATGTCATTGAAAAAGTTCAAGAAGAACATGACAGAGCAGATGCAACATATGCAACAAAAGAACATACTCATCCTGAACTAGCGGACAAAACATATGTTGACAATAAAATGTCAAGTGAAGTGACAAGAGCTGAAAACGAATATTCTAAAAAGACTCATACACATACCATTGCAAATATTACAAACTTACAAGAAACCTTAAACAGGAAAAGTGACGTTGGACATACACATACTATATCTGAAATAACAGACTTAAACGTTAGCCTTGAAAAGAAAGCTGACAAAGAGTATGTAGATGCAACAAAAGACTATATTTTCGCATGGACAGATAGAGCATACCCACAAAAACACCATACACATAACATCTATGACGTAGATGAACTTCAAGAAAAGTTAGATGACAAGGCGGATAAAACATATGTTGACAATAAAATGTCAAGTGAAGTGACAAGAGCTGACAAAGAATATTCTAAAAAGACTCATACACATACCATTGCAAATATTACAAACTTACAAGAAACCTTAAACAAGAAAAGTGACGTTGGACATACACACGATTTCTTCGCAACTGTTGGTATAGAAAATATTGAAGGAACGGTTGAAGAAACTGGTGGGGATGTATTAAATTGGAAACCTCCTAACTTTCCACAAGGTTTAACATCGGAGGATGACATAACGACGATGAAATACATTAGATGTAGAAATGTCTATGTCATGAAGGATGAAAACAATGTTAAATTCACTGCTCAAGATTTATATGACAACAAAGCTGACAAAACAGAGCTTCAAACGTTAAAGACAGAAATACTTCAAACACTATATCCTATAGGTTCTATTTACACGTCAATGAACTCTACCAGACCAGAAGTAGTACTTGGTCTCGGAACTTGGACTCAAATAGTCGACAGGTTTTTGTATTGTGCAAACTCTTCAAAGGAAACAGGTGGAAGTAAAACGATTTCAGGTGAAAACTTACCTGCACACAGTCACTACATAGATTTAAGTACATCTCAAGCAGGTTGGCATAAGCATAGATTTTGGGATTGGTCAGCAATGAAAAAAGGTAAAGGATATGATGTTAAAGACAACGTTCAGTTTGCTATAAATTGTTTCTGGGGTAGCACACAGGGAGAAGGAAACCATACACATCGCGTTTCAGGGTATACACAAACAACGGGACAAAGTAAAGACTACATGCCACCTTACATGACAGTTTACGCATGGTATAGAAATGCTTAGTCGTCATTTTCAACTTCTTTAGCATATTCGTCAGGAGTTGTCTTATATTTGTTAGGAACTGTCTTTGAAAGTATACCACCTTGAACCTTAACAAGTTTGAAACGAGGTCTGACAATAGTAGTTTTATCTTCTGCTTGCAGTCTGTACATTTTGCCATGTTTGCCTAAAACTTCATAATATTCTCTTGTATACTTTCTTCTATTTTTACGAACACGAATGCGAGTACCTGTCGAGTTCCCATTGTTGTCATAGTCAATAGTATTTTCATATGGGTCGCGTTTAGGTATTTCTATTTTTACTTTGTCACCTTTCTGAAGTTTGAAGCCCGGCATTCTTTCTTGTTTGTCTCTTTTGACTAAACTATTAAATATATAGTCTTTCTCTAAGTCAGGGTTGTTTTTCATTTCTTCGGGGGAGTGGTTTCCCAAACCTTTTTGTTTACGGTTATTGTAAATATTTAAAACTTGTCTCATCTTTGCCATGGAGAAGTGTCTATACTTGTCGTCATATGACATTTCATCTACCTCACCACTTTGTGGTTGGTTTAAGTCTCTTAAGATTTTTATACAACTGTCAATGACACCAAGAGCAGAATGGTTTTGGTCGACAATGAAATATTGGTTTACATTTTTTGAACGCAGATAGTTTTTAATATCGTCTGATTTGAAAGAACGTTCACAGTCAGATGTCAGTTTTGTTGGATGGTATTTGTCAACAAATATTGTCAAAGCAGTTTTCACATCTAAAATATTTTTGGACTGTAATGGTATGGCTTCACAGTATCTTGTGTTTTGACCGACAAATATTAGCCAGTATGGAGGTCCATCTGTTCTAACTCTCGGAATGTTTTCCAAGATATCCATAAACCAAGCATTTGGTGTTGAACTAAAGATTTTTACCATGAGTGCTTTCTTTGTTGCTTTAGAAACATACGGGTCCTTGTTTGGATTCGTCATTTTTTACCCTATAAGAAATGGGTTTATTTGGCGCATTAGCAGGAGTTGCATCCAGATTTTTGCCCGCAGTTGGAACAATAGCCAGAGGTGTATTTGGAGTTGGAAGGAAGATTTTGAGTACATTAGGTATACTGAAAGAGAAAGCACAACCTATTATACAAACTGTACAGAAAGGTTGGGATGTAGCACGAGATGCAGCAAATCTTATTCCAAATCCTGAAACAAGAGGAAAAGTTCAAGGATGGATGGACAATGTAGGAAGACAAGCAGGAAACTACTATAACAAAGCAAATGACTACTATAACCAAGCAGGACACTACATGGACCAGGGTGAAAGATTCTTTAACAGAGGATATAACCATGCACAACAGTGGGTAAACAATAACCAACCTCAACCGCCTCAAACGTGGGGAATGTAAAGTTTTTTACTGAGATGAAATGAACAATACAGCATTGAGACAAATGGGTTCAAGATGGATTTGTCGACTTCCAGCAGTTACACAACGTGTTTGTCAAGTTCTTCCTATACCTCAGGAAGTTTTAGACCGACTTAAAAAACCTAAACAACCAGTTGAAAACAAACCAAACTAAAATTTTTTACTGAGATGAAATGACCGAAGAAGTTGAAACGGTAGATTTGACACCACAAACAAAAAGTTCAGAACCATTGTCAAAACCTGTCAAAGAACTTACAGATGAAGAGAAAAATTCAATAATAGAAAGTGCCAGGTCTGGAAATACAAACCCTAACTATAAAGTCACTTTTCATAGAAATGGAACGGCTAGTATCTCAAAAAAGAAACAGACTCTCACAAATAAAATATTGAAGTCTGAAGGAGCTTTCGAGACAGCAGATGGAAAAGTTTACTTCACCGATCAACAGTTCATTATAGAACATCTCATTGACTTAGAGTCGAAATATTCTAAACTTTACAACAAACACAAAAAGTTGAAAGGAAAACAAAAACAAATGGCATATGATATTTATGAAGATGTTAACGACACAACCATACCTGCAAGTGAGGTAAGGTCAGAGGAACCGAAAAGTGACGAAAAACCAATAGAAGAAGGTGAGCCAAAAACTGAAGATAAACCAAAACCAAAGTTTAGTTTGGAAACTACTAAAACAAGCCAACCTTCATTAGCTGGTATGGGTTGGCGTCAAAGACTTATGGTAGCTGGTGGTTATGTTAAGTAAAGGAAAAAACATTTTTTTAAAAAATATATTTTTTTATTTTATTTGAAATGTACGTTGAGTTTGTTGAAGAAGACCGTTGGGAAACTTGTTTGTTAGATGAGAAATATGAAATTCACTGTTCTGAGCCTTTTGAAGTCAGAAACAAAAAGACAAAAAGAGTTTTAAGCGAATGGGAGCAAAATGACGGATATGCTAGGATGAGGATTGGTGGAAAACACTATTTTAAACATGTTGTCATTGCAACTCATTTTATACCAAACCCTAACAATCTACCTTTTGTAGACCACATAAACCATATAAGAAACGACAATAGACTTGAAAACTTACGTTGGGTCACTTGTTCTGAAAACAGTAAGAACATAGGCAAATTTAGAGATATTGTATTCGAATTTGTCGACGAACTAGAAGATGAAGCAATTGAAATTACAGACTATGGTAAGCATACGTTTGAGTTTTACTACTATAGCGAAGAACAAGACTCTTTCTACTTTTATACCGGCGTAAACTATAGGAAATTACAAGTATGTTTTACTAAGGCGGGCTATGCTCATGTAAACGCTAGAGATACAGATGGAAAATACGTTCAAATACATCTTAACAAATTCAAGAAGCTATATGGCATACAATTTTAAAACAGTATATTTTTACATATATTAAATGTTTCAGGTTGAAAAACAAAGAACAAAAGTAGCAGATACAAAACCGTTAGACTATATCTTTACAAACGCCGGTAGGACTATATCAGATGAAGAAATTTCATCCCGTACTTACAGGTTTGACTATCCAATTCGTTGGCTTCAAAGTCCTTCAGATGCAAAGGCAATAGGATTTAGAAGAGTTTTGTTTTCAAAAAGAACTAACGCATTTATGTTCGCAGTATATTTTCATGGGCAATATAAAGGTTCTGATGGTCTAATAGACAAATTTGACGAAATGAGAATCTTTACAATTCGTTCAGACGAAAGTCTTGAGAAAACTCTAAATGACTTTCAAACTCAAATAAACAAATACTACTGGGAATTTCAAGAAAAATACGACTCTTTACTAAATGGAACATACTATCTAAAACTAGAATACAACAAGATGAATTCCACCGTTTCATTTCAAAGGATTGAAAATAACCCTCCAAGAGATACACAGTTTTTATTTTGGGAAGTAGACAAACGTTCTTGGGCACAATTTCTTCGGTTACTAAACCAGAACGAACCATTACCACCTGACGGTCCGTTTAAATTTATACGTCCACCAGCAGATTTGACAGTTTATAGAAACGTGTTTGACCCTCAAAATGTTATGTGTCATGCAAGTTTCAGTTCAAGCAACAACAGTTTTCTTTGTATTGGTAAGGACTTTTATGACCTTACCTCTAAATTCTACGAACCACCTAGTAACAGTTTCTCTGACTTTCAAGTTTGGTTCACAACAAATGGTGTGCAGCATATTATTCCACTGTACTATGACTTTTATCTCGAATTGTCTTTCATATACAACTACGGAAAAGTGCTGAAAAAGTATTGAATGTGAAGATATTAGAAAATAACATTTTTTCTAACATCGTAGAAAACTCATGAAAACAATTTATTTTTGTGAATATGTAAGCGGCTCATAGCTCAGTGGTATGGGCTACCTCGTTAAAGGCGTCGAAGACCTCGGTTCAAATCCCGATTCGCGCAGGTTTTTTCCTTTTATGCAGTGAAATTTCATGTACATAGGTTACTTTGGTGTTAGACCCTAGTGAAGAAAATAGAACGATATAAGTTTACATTTGTAAGGTTATTTTGGTGTTAGACCCTAGTGAAGAAAATAGAACGATAGGAGTTTACATTTGTAAAGTTGGACGATAAAAATCTCTGCTACTAGCAGTACTGCTACTGTCAGTAAAAGTACTGCTACTGTCAGAAAAAGTACTGCTACTGTCAGTAAAAGTACTGCTACTGTCAGTAAAAGTACTGCTAGTTGCAGTAAAAAGGAAAATTTGAGAGGGTTTTCGACGATAAAGTACTGCTACTGTCAGTAAAAGTACTGCTACTGTCAGTAAAAGTACTGCTACTGTCAGTAAAAGTACTGCTACTGTCAGTAAAAGTACTGCTACTGTCAAAAAAGTACTGCTACTGTCAGTAAAAGTACTGCTACTGTCAGTAGCAGTACTGCTAGTAGCAGAGATTTTTATCGTTGTGGTCCGACGGTTAAGCCACAAACGAATGTCCGACGTCCCACCAACCGAGCCCATTCCCAAGCCAGAGGAACCTAAAGAACCACAACAGTCTCCTCAGCAACCTCAGTTCCAGCAAGTACCTCCGATTTACTACCAATTCCAATACAAATCGAAGAGAGACCAAGAGTTCGAAGAAGGTCTGAACCGCTTACGCAAAGAGTATGCTACAGCTCCAACCCTTGGTTGTTCCAGCAATTCCAATCTCAATCCAAATTACTACCAATCTCAATCCACATCGAAGAGAGACCAAGAGTTCGAAGAAGGTCTGAACCGCTTACGCAAAGAGTATGCTACAGCTCCAATTGAGAGAAAGTTGTTGCTAAATTCAGTAAAAATAATGTTTAGGTGAAGAGGTGACATCTCACCCGTTTTCTCACCTCTTTTCTCACCTCATGAATTTTCATGAATTTCATCGTAAATGTTTTGTCGAAACTTCTTCATCGTAAATGTTTTGTCAAGACTTCTTCGTAAATGTTTTGTCGAAACTTCTTCATCGTAAATGTTTTGTCAAGACTTCTTCGTAAATGTTTTGTCGAAACTTCATCGTAATGAGCGTAAATGACCCAAAAATATAATTTAGGTGAAGAGGTGACATCTCACCCGTTTTCTCACCTCTTTTCTCACCTCATGAATTTTCATGAATTTCATCGTAAATGTTTTGTCGAAACTTCTTCATCGTAAATGTTTTGTCAAGACTTCTTCGTAAATGTTTTGTCGAAACTTCTTCATCGTAAATGTTTTGTCAAGACTTCTTCGTAAATGTTTTGTCGAAACTTCATCGTAATGAGCGTAAATGACCCAAAAATATAATTTAGGTGAAGAGGTGACATCTCACCCGTTTTCTCACCTCTTTTCTCACCTCATGAATTTTCATGAATTTCATCGTAAATGTTTTGTCGAAACTTCTTCATCGTAAATGTTTTGTCGAAACTTCTTCATCGTAAATGTTTTGTCGAAACTTCTTCATCGTAAATGTTTTGTCAAGACTTCTTCGTAAATGTTTTGTCGAAACTTCATCGTAATGAGCGTAAATGACCCAAAAATATAATTTAGGTGAAGAGGTGAGATTTCACCTCTTTTTTCACCTGTTTTTTCACCTCATGAATTTTCATGATTTCATCGTAAATGTTTTGTCGAAACTTCATCGTAATGAGCGTAAATGACCCAAAAATAATGTTTAGGTGAAGAGGTGAGATTTCACCTCTTTTTTCACCTGTTTTTTCACCTCATGAATTTTCCCGAAATAAAAAATAAAGTTAGTTTTATTTTTTATTTTATTTATTTTTTTATTTTGTATAAAAAAATAAAAATGTCAACAATCGGCACAACAACACTTCAAACAACTACAGCACCAAACTCGTTAGTCATGAATCCAACATCTATGTTGGTAGAGATGAAAAACTTCATTCCTTCTTCATATACTTTCGAAACAAAAATCCAGAAGATAAAGCAGGAATTGTTAACAAGTAATTTAGACTGTACCGCACAGGATGAAACAAATGAACAGTATCTTTATGACATGCAGGATATTATTGACCATTTACCCAAATTGCCTGAAATCCAACAGCAAAAACTAACTATTCCTGAATTTGACGAAATTGAAGTGAAACCAACTGACTCAGTAGAAATAAAGAAGTTCATACGAAAGGTAAATTATGAATTCCTTGGTTTTCATTGCAACCATAAAGTTATGGACAAAGATTGCGACATGGTATATAAGAATGTTTCTGACATATATAAATCTGAAGAATTTAAGACCTACGACAACTTTGTTTCGTTAGTTGCTGAATGTGTATGGGAAATAAGAGATAAAGATAGTAGGGGTAAGGTATGGAATGAACAGATAAGACCCGCTATGTTTGAGATGAAGAGAGCAATTGACGCCTTGGTTGTTTTAGCAGGTAAGGTTTCAGAATATAACGCAAAAATGAATCCGCAATGTTCTAAATGTAAAGCAGCAATGAGGAAATATAACTACTCCGTCAAAGAGATAGAACGTATGCGAAACGACTATGCAGACTTAAAGAAAGAAGCAGAAAAACCAGCAGAAAATAAAATGGATATGTTAGCATTTCTGAACAAAAACTATCCAACAGCAGAAGATTTCCTATTATCTGACGTCAAGAAGAAGTATAAAGAAACTTTCGGTATCGTTAAAACATTCGATGTACTGACAGAAGAAATAGAAGCTACAAAACTGTTTAGGATTTCAAATATACATCGTACAATTCATGTAAAACGCTTATAAAATAACAGGTGAGAAAAGAGGTGAAAAAACAGGTGAAATCTCACCTCTTCACCTAAACATTATTTTTTGCTGAATTCAGCAACAAAATTCTGAGTAAAATAATTTTTAGGGCTTGTGTCAAACCGTTGAGTTTTCACAAAATTTAAAAAAATAACGTTTACCATGTAAAACGCTTATAAAATAACAGGTGAGAAAAGAGGTGAAAAAACAGGTGAAATCTCACCTCTTCACCTAAACATTATTTTTTGCTGAATTCAGCAACAAAATTCTGAGTAAAATAATTTTTAGGGCTTGTGTCAAACCGTTGAGTTTTCACAAAATTTAAAAAAATAACGTTTACCATGTGAAACGTTTATAAAATAACTAGGGTGAGAAAACAGGTGAAAAAACAGGTGACATCTCACCTCTTCACCTAAACATTATTTTTTGCTGAATTCAGCAACAAAATTCTGAGTAAAATAATTTTTAGGGCTTGTGTCAAACCGTTGAGTTTTCACAAAATTTAAAAAATAACGTTTACCATGTAAAACGCTTATAAAATAACTGAGGTGAGAAAACAGGTGAGAAAACGGGTGAGATGTCACCTCTTCACCTAAACATTATTTTTGTCTGATTTACGCTCATTACGAAGAAGTCTTGACAAAACATATACGTTTAGTTTCGATGAAATCATGACAAAGAATGTACGATGAAGTCTTGACAAAACATATACGAAGAAATCATGAAAATTCATGAGGTGAGAAACAGGTGAGAAAACGGGTGAGATGTCACCTCTTCACCTAAAATATATTTTTGCTGAAAAATGACCAAATTTCATGAATTTCCTTAAGACAGAAAAAATAAAGTTAGTTTTTTATAAAATATTTTTTTTATTTTGTATGTAAGAACAGAAATGACAAACATTGAGTTTGAAACAAAAAAGATAGACAATGACACCAAATTGGTTAGAATAGGTGATTTAAACGTAAGATACTCAAAGAAATACAACAAATATTCTTTGTCAGACATTATATCTCCATCTGGAAAGAAAACATGGCATTGGGTTGGAATTGCTTCTAGTCAGAAAATTTTGACAAGAAATCCTGAGCTTATGATATCGGTAAGATTCTATGGAACTACAGCATATCTCATCGACAAAAGTCTTATACCAATAGTTTTGTTATGGTTAGACCCAGTTGTTGGATATAACTTCATAACATATGGTTCATTCGATACGGAACGTTGCAGTGAAGGCTTACTTTACATCATTCAGAAACCGAAGGACTTCAATACAAAGAGATATAAGATAGGAAGAACATATAATATAACTCAAAGATATGACAGTACAGTCAATAGAGTCAAGGTTGTGTTTGCTAATGATATGAGAGCTGCAGAAACAGAACTACTTGAAAAGTTTGAGAAAATATATGGTGCTCCCATAAAAGGTAAAGAAACGTTTGAAGTAGATGAGATAGATAAAGCTATAAAATTATTTGACGAAGTTGCTGAAAAATACATGTAAAGCGTTTATTTTTGGTCTTTTGTGAAAGATAGAAAAAATAAAGTTATTTTTATTTTTTTTATTTTTTTATCCGGAATATAAAGACAGATATGTCAACAACAGAGAACACAACAACAGTTATAGTCCATGAAGCTATAAATGAAGAATACGAGTACATACAGTTTACAAAACAACTCCGTCTCATTCGTTCGGTCAAAGACGATATGTACCAAATGCAAAGTATTTTGAATGCTCTTCGTTCTACAAAGCAAGCATATCATTGGTTTGAAAACCAACAGACAAAAGAACTTTTAGAAGAATTTCCTCATATGTTTGCTTCCCTCGAAAAACCGAGGAATGAGATTCCGTATGAAAATCGTAAAAATTTGCCAATAAATTTAAGAGGATATTATGTACATAGACTTCTTGTAAATGCTGTTGCAATGTGGGCTTCACCTCGTTATGCTTGTTATATTTTCATGATGTTAGACGAAATTCATAGACAAGAACGTGAAGAGATGGAAAAGAAACTTCAAGCAAAAGATGAAGTCATTGAAGCAAAAGACAAAAGCCTTCAGAAAAGAATACCACGTTCGGTACCAAAAGGAAAGGAAAAGAACTATAAGTATATGATTTATACTGAAGAGATGGAAAATGAAGAAGATAAAGATATGGTTATGTTGCATTTAGTCAGAAGAAACAACAAAAGCTTTTACGACCTTGCTAAGATTTACAAATCTGACAGAAATTGGTTCTATCGCGAAAACTTACCGATTTCAATGACCCCAAATGAAGATGTGAAACAAATAGTTCAAGATACGTTACCTCAAACACACTATGATATGAAAGGTTGTACAATACTTACCTTCAAAGAAGATTTGCCATTGTTAAAGGAAAAAATAACAGAGTATTTTGACAACTTCAAACAAGTAGGGTAGATGAACTCTTTATTTTTCAAGCTTGACTTCAGATGGCTCAAGTAGCTCTAGATGGTAAATTGGCTTGTCAAATCCTTCTGGGTCTATGTCGGTCATTGTTTCAAGACAAGTCTTTTACTTTTTCAAGACAAGTCTTTTACTTTTTCAAGACAAGTCTTTTACTTTTTCAAGACAAGTCTTTTACTTTTTCAAGACAAGTCTTTTACTTTTTCAAGACAAGTCTTTTACTTTTTCAAGAAATTTTTTGGTGTAAAGTTCTCAAATTTGAGAACAGTGGTCTTGATTGAAGACGATACCCGTACTTTTTCAGGACAAGTCTTTTACTTTTTCAAGACAAGTCTTTTACTTTTTCAAGACAAGTCTTTTACTTTTTCAAGACAAGTCTTTTACTTTTTCAAGACAAGTCTTTTACTTTTTCAAGACAAGTCTTTTATTGTTTCAAGACAAGTCTTTTACTTTTTCAAGACAAGTCTTTTATTGTTTCAAGACAATGTCCGACGTACCACCAACCGAGTCCATTCCAAAGCCAGAAGAACCGACAGCCCCAGCACCACAACAGACTAAGACTCAAACACTTACATTTTTACGCTTGACTTTTTACAATTTGAACTTTGTTTGCGTAGATATGAATTCTGAAAGAAGTATGAGGGTCTTGTATGACTTTGTACTTCTCCCATAGTTCATGTCTGTCAAACTTACCTGCCATGGACTCTTTCATAAGTTCCATGAAATCGTCTTCGGACAATCCGGGGAAAAGTATAATGTCAGTAAGTATTCTTTTAACATCCTTACTTAAACTCTTTGCTGTCTGTACACAAATGACAACTGAGATGTTAAAGTGTCTGAGCTTCTTAAGAATTCGACACATGTCTTGTTCTCTGTTCTTTAACAAAGGATGAGAAGCAAAGTCATCTAAGATAAGAAGACATCTATGAGGGTATGTCTTCCAATCGTAAGATTGCAATTTCTTCGAAATGTATTCTATCTCTTTCTGTTTGTTTCTGAAGTGTTTCTTCTCTAATATTCTCTGCATTTCCTCATTAGGGTCTTTAAACTTCGAATTTATATACTCATTTATAGCATTATACTTCAAAACTCTTCTTTGGTACTTCTTTATCCAATCTAACAACTCAGTATCCTTTATACATACTAACTTAGACTTCTTTATAATATCTTTGAACGAATTGACGGTTTGGTCAAATTGACCAGAAGTACTACAAATAACAACTAACTCATAGAATGGGTTCTTCTCATCTAGTTCTTGTTGTTGTGCAGCCATTTTAAGATAAGTGAAAGTCTTACCCGACCCAGGTGGTGCGATTAGACCTGTTATACCATTCTGAGCAAATAAGAACTTTTCATGTATGGGTTTTATCTGAGCATTTTCTAACTTCCTCTTGTTCTTGTTTAAAACATTCTCAAATTTCTTGTCAATGTCAGCAAACTTTTTTTCTAACATATTTTTAGAAAAATTAAAATTTTTATCTTTTAGAAAATGTCTAGTGATTTCGCTATCTATATTCGAGACAAGCTTTTTGACTCTAAAACTTCTGTCGACCATAAAATCTTACATAGTGTAAACAAGAAAGGTGAATTTGTTCTAAAGTTCTGTTTCTGGGAATATGACAAGAACCATAAAACATTAGGCAGAGAAGTCTTAAAATTTGTCAATGACAGACTTGTTGACAGAGATGACGCCTCTTGGAAAGATGAAGTCCAACAAAACTTCTTAGAATGCAAAGAAGACACATGCGCTGTTCTTGAAGATGAAATAGAAAACAGAATAGAAGAGCTATTAAAGGACAAAGAACTTTTACATAAATATGGTTGCGCCAAATTTGACATAACTCCACCAGAGAAGAAGAAGAAGAAGAGAGAAAAGAAAGAAAAGAAAGTAGAAGAAGAGAAGAAAGAACCTGAACCAGTTCCAGAGAAGGGGAGATATGACATGTAAAAATAAAATTTTATTTTTAGAACATTTCTGGGTCAATGTCAATGTTCTCTTCCTCTTTAGGGGCAAACACTGGCTTAGACTCTAAAATCTTTTTACCCAATTTACCTTGAACTTCAACTATCTTAGACTCATAATATTCATAGTCGTCTGCTTTCTTTGGTTCATAAGGTATAACAAGTTTGTATGCTTTGCCTTCTTCGAGTTTTGAGAACTTTCTGTCAAAATTTTCTTTGACTGTCAACATACCGTCAATGTCTAAGTCTTCAAATTTCGCACCATTTTTAGTCACAATAGCAAACTTAACTGGTTCGATGTTCCAAACTTTGTCAAATGTAGACTTTTCAAAATGGTAGAAGTAAACATTCAAATATGCGAATGGGTCTAGTTCTTCTTTGACTTCTGTCATGTACTTGTTTACTGAGATGAATTTTGCCATCTTTTCTATCGGATAAAAAAATATTTTTTTAAAATTTACTCAGAAAAATTTTTCTTTGTATATACGCCGTTCTGAACATCTAAAAGATTTTTGACATTTGCCAAGAATGTTCGTTTAGACGCTGTCATATAACCATACTCTTGGCAATATTGTTTATATTCATCGTACAATGACCTTTCATCTAAACACTCAAAGTCGCTTTCTTCTATGAACAGTTCATATACACTCTTGTTTGCTTCTAACAATGTTTGTCTCTCTTCGGTATATGGAATTTGTCTTGGATTGAACTTAGAAATATCTAATGTCATGAAATATGAGAACAAGTGGTTGTAAAAGTTAGGTGTCAAAGTTTCTGCTAAGTCGTCAAAATATTCTGTATCTTGCATATGAGCTTCTGACGTTCTGACAACTACATATCTTCTGTCAGAACTTTCTAACTTCATCGGAACGGCATTGTTTGAAACCATGACGAAGTTTGCAACATTTTCACAAACTCTTTGGTCTTTATATTTTCTTTCAACAACTCCAACTTTGTCTGTTATAAGACTCTTCAAAGCATCTGAGTTCAAAATTTTTGTTGTATCTATACTTTGAAGTTCATTGCAAACTATAAGTTTCATATTCTCAATTGAAGAGTTAAATTTACCGCAGATGTTTTCTAAGTTTGTCATATTCGGATTCGAATAGCCCTCTAATAGTTTGCACAAAATATCTGTAAAGAATGTGTTCTTACCAGTTCCTTGTTTTCCAATTATAATGAGAGCAGTTTCATTTTTAGCACTTGGATGTTGTAAGATGTTTGCAAACCAACATAAGATATACTCATAGACTCTTTCGTTTCCATTGCATATAATTTCTTTGACATGGTCTAACCAAGCTTCTATAATATTTTCTTTCCATTCTACTTGTTCGTATTTATATCCAGTGAAGATAGAATAGAAGTTTGGAGAAGGTGTATAAAACTTTATACCTCGAACTGAAAAATCTTCTAACTTTGACAATAAGATATCCCAAGCATCTAACATCTTCATTCCAACTTGTACAACTTTTATTTTCTTAAGTTTCTGTCTACATTCTTGTTCAGACACTATTGTTGCTCTTGGTTTGTTAAAGACAACATCCCATTCTTTCATGACATAACATTCTGGGGCAGAGTCAACATAAATGACTAAACGTTTCAAATTCTCGACTGCTTTGTTATAGTCTCTAAATGGACACATATTTCTGAATGCTTGGAAGTCATAAAAATCTGAAACATCTATTCTGTACATTTTTATAAAAATAAAAAAAATATTATTTTTTTATTCTTGACTTTGTTTGTTCCATTTGTTGCATTTGTTGTTCTTGAGCTATTTGTTGTTGAAGTTGTTCTTGTAATACAATACTTTCACCGGTTGCATCTTCCAATTCGAAACTTTCTGCCGTCATTGACAAATACATAGGACATAAAAGTTTTACAGGAACAAAGTTTGCGTCAACTAATGTCAACGTTATACTTGCCAAAGTGTTTGAGTTCACTAAGGTTGAAAATTCTGCATTCGAATGAACAATAGGCAAACCAGCAGAGAAAGTATTGTTTATACGCATAAGTATCTTTTGGTCATAATAGTTTCTGTCGACATTCGAATAACACTTTGAACCTAAGTTTGAAACAATATATAAGATTGGTGTGCTTAATGTCAATGGAATAGACATTCCTTGTATGACACCTTTTCCTGTTATAGGAAACTGTTGGTAGTAAAAACCAGAAATAAGTTTTGTATTATAGCTCATATTGTTTATAGTAAACTCAGTCGGACATCCAAACATAATGAAACCTGCTCTAGTTGCAGCACATGTTACACTCGTCCTTAAAGTATTAAATAAGTCAACAAAACCTGTTGGTGGTATATCTGAGTAAGTATCTTCAAAGGAGTATTTTTTACCATTCACAACAATAAAATCTTCTGGTGTCAAAAGAGCAAAACAGGCTTTAGTCGTCATTGTGTTTAAGGTTAGTTTACAATATCGTCCTTGAGGACTTTGTAAGTTTGTTGTTATAGAATTATATGACTCAGGGTTTTTAGTCGTAATAGTATAAACCATTATGTCTTCTGCCATTTACTTAGCAAATAAATTTTAATGAAATGTTGTGGTCGTCAAATATTTTTATGACGTCTGGGAAACTATACTTTAAGTTCAACGTTTCACCTCCTTTCATAACGTATATCTTGTCAATGACATTATATGAAACACCACAGCAACTAACGTCGGTTCTATTTCTTTGATGTTTATATCGTCTGCCTCTGTCAAAAGTTTCAATAGTTCTTTCAAAATTTCATGAGGTGCGATGACATATGAGTTCACTTTTACAGGGTTGTGCTCAACCAAGTTTAACATTATACCCAAAGCTTGACAAATCTTCTCCTGAGTTTTAAGTTTGTCTTTAAGTTGCTTGTAGTCATTCGAATATCTGCAACAGAACTTAAGTCTCTGCTAACTTCAGGTGTATGTTGGTTCTTTTACAGGAACTATTGTTATACCATCTTCGTCTTCGTATGGTTTCCCCACTTCAACATCTCTTTCTTTGACATTGACAACAACACTTTGACTGTTTGTTTGAGTTTGGTG